ATCGTGAGGAACTTTGTTGTGAAAAAAACAGACATAATGTGCATAATTTATTTATTAATATAACTGAAAGGACCATTTTTTTATCACAGGAGGAGTACAACGGTTCAAAGTTGTATCCGATGTTCCCGCGTTACACGATACTGAAGGACATGATAAAGGATATAATGCACAACCCGGACTATATGGAAGTCTGTCACGAGGTGGACCAAGCATAGCGGCCAGACCCCCTCCACCGTTCGCCACGTATGACTCTGTAAATTCTTCAGAGTTGCCGTGTGGTCGTCGGTGAAGGGGGTGAACCACAGAACGCTTCAGCTTCGACTGATGATTTTACTTTTGGACAGAGCAATTTCTGTGATCTTATGTTTTATCCTTTATATTCGCGAAAATTTCCATTTCCTTATTCATACCTTGACAAGCCATTCGTCAGTAATCGTCATCTTTGTTCATTCGAATCTTGGGACAAATCTGAAACAAATTGCGTCAAGCTTTTATGAATCGTACACAATTTCTCGCAGGTAAGTTAGACCCGCTCCTCTTCGTGCGTGTTTTGTGAAGTTTCGGCAAGAAATAGGAAAGATGATAAGAGGTTGAATATCGCACTGAAGTACGTCATCGAATATCGTGGAGCAGCAATGAGCATCTCGACGTGCTATAAGAGCATGAAGATGAAATAGTCATGGAGTTAAGGTAGGTCATGAGGTCGTTCTCATATATCCATAAGAATGCTGCTACTTACTTTAATCATCGCAAGAAAAAAAGAAATCGACGGAAAGTAAGCTTTATTCATTGCTTAATAAAGATAAAAATATTATTTTACGGGAATAAAAAAAGATTAGTTTTATATAATTAGATGATTTTAATACATTATTTTTACATTTGAGATAAATATTGAAAATTAAAAAGATGATGTCGCACTGAATTTTCATAATTTCAAGATTATCAAAAAATTCTCGGATGAAATATAATAACGATAAAATTCTAGAACTTTATATTAAATTCAATATTTTAAAAAATCCCATTTGTCACTTTGTGGCAGAAGAGAGATTCCGAGTCTTTCCAAATAAATAAGTCTAAGTAGCAGAATTCATGAGATTCCATGGTAGAAGCCAAGAGGTCGTTTTATAATTTCTAATTTTGGGTTGAAATAGTCGCTCGCACGTCACAAAGAAAAGAGGCTAGATGCGCTATTATTAATAGTGAGTGTCGTATGCATGTGGTATACCGTAATCAATTAGGCTAATTTGCAAGATCTATGGAGCGTGAAGTAAATTCGTATAAGACTGTGGGCGTGTGTTTGTACATAGGTGTAGCTTATGTGTGTGAAAATTAGCGTGAAATTGTGAGAGCGGTGTCAATATGGAGCACATTATTATCTGCTTCCTGCTGTATAGGACTCTCGTTATAAAGGACATCGTCGGTCTCGCGCGACCGAATATTCGCTTTACCTACGAAGAGGACAAAGATTATACTACTCTCGAGCAATGCTCTACGAAAAGAAAATGTATTTATAATGAAAAATATTAATTAATGATTTAACATTTAAAACTAAGATTTACAATATGGTTAACTTTGAATATGAAGATTTTATTGAAATATTTGGATATATTGTGCGTACAATTATATATTTAATGTGTAAAATATGAAATATTTGAAATCGCTTTTTATCAGCGAACAGAGACAGGAATTAGGTGGTGCGAAATATTTGAGGAATACTGGAAATAATACACTAATATGAAGTAATGATTTAACATTTCAAATAAGAAAAATTTATAAAATTTTAATGTAAAAATTGTTGTGTCACAAATTATTTGAGTCACATATTTGATATATGAATATTGAAATATGTCAAATATAAATCCATATTTAAGCAGCATTTTAAGATGAGAACGTCTTGAAATTGAAGTATATATTATAAATTAAAAATATATTAATTAAACAGATTCTAGGGATTTTAAGTGGAACTAGTTTATATAGACCAAGAGACCACTGCACGGTAGTGATTTTGTTACTCATAGCGACAAATATGGCAAGTGGATAACCTTTTATTTCATGCAAAACGTAAAACCAATACATACATATATATATTTAAGCCCGGTTGCGGTTACTTAAACCTTTAAGGGGGCTTATGGGCTTTTCAAAATGTTACAGATTTTGATTTTTTTACTGAAAGTAAAGGTTCAATGTTGTTGTAATCGACAGTTAATACTCTTATTCCAAAAGAGACGGATACTCCCATATCTCTCAGAAGCGTGCAAGGGATCGCCATACTGGGTCAAAGTGATAAATTTTTTCTGAAAAAAAATCAATAGTGACAAGTTTGAATTTTTATCTACTACTTAATTTTGATGTCAATTGTCGAGAAATATAATTTCCATATCTTTGGGATGGTCACGAAAGCAGCCATACAGGCAGTGAATTTTTTTGTGAAAACTAATAGCTTGTATGAATTATTGTCTTTATATATTTAATACATACATTTACAAAGTTATTACAAAAAATTCATTAAATAATATTAATATTTCTAGCCTCAGTGCTCATTGATGTGCACCTCGTCTGGAAAAACATAGGTGCACGGGCGCTCGTGCTGCGTCCGAACGGAAGCTCTAAAATAAAATTTTTTTTTATTTTAAAGTGTATGAAAAAGTATAGTTTGAGTTAAGCGTACTGTTTTTTTTTTTTTGATAATTTTAGACAAAATAACACTGTTTTAAAAAAACAGATCTCTTTTTTTGCGAAAAAAATCATTACTTTTTTTTATTGTTTTTCAAAAACTAATAATCCGATTGAAAAATTCGTACGCTTAACTGAAGACAATTTCGATTTAAACATGCTGTCCAAAATTCAAGTCATTCGGATAAAAATTGGCCGAGATAGCGCCCAGTCACGAAAAACGTGGTTTCGAGGAAAACGTGTTTAAAGTTTTACAACCGATTAGTTTATTCATCTGGCCACATGCTACTCCATTATATTTATTTACTATAGTTTCGCATTACGAATTTCAACATAATATTTTAGGGATATATTTTTAAGACTCCAAATATTACAAAAAACAAAAAATTGATTTTTTTAACCCGTCACAATGGTGTTCCCCCTTAAGTATATACGAGTATATATTTTTTTCTGTTTTACATAAAATAAAAAATTACTCACTTCCCATACTTGTCACTATGGGTAACAAAAACATTACAGTGGTCTCTTGGTCTAATACATGTATACAATCTGAGTTATTTTAGCATTAAATATTTAAGGATAAATCGTAGATTTATATACAAAATGTGATTTATGAATTTGTTTGAAGTCATTATATTTCCGATTACATGAAGCGATCTGAAGAATTTTTTTTCAAGCCGATTTCAATGAAAAATCAATCTTTATACAATATAATTTACATTTTTATCAATCACTTTTTTATGTAACCAAAACTATGCACGTAGTGTTGAATATTAATCAACTATATTCTGTGGTATACAAATCATAAATATTAATGGTCTGTTTAAAATACACGCAATGCCTTCATTACAAATCGCGAGATTAGCTAAGATATATGGCATTTGTGGATCAACTAATGTTTCTTTCGTGTGGGAACAGAACGGCAAGGATGTCATGTATACATTTTTATTTTTAATGCAGTGCGAGATTTATAATAAGACAAAATAATTTTTCCAGGGATATATTCATACACAGATTAATAGTACATTCGCATCGTATACTTAGCACTAAAAGTTCTCAAATATTTATATGAAGCGCGATTCATAAGCGCTACACAGATCGTATTGAACAGAAAAGAAATTAGTTAATAATTAAACACTGTTTATAAAACTCATTGTTAAACATTTAGCTAATATACCATGAGGTTCCGTATGCTTGACGATAATAGTTGTGAGTAACGTTCTCCGTATATATATTATATTAAGTAATATAAAATGCTCGAAAAATAAGAGCATTAATTAAATATTAATTTGGCATAAAGAACATATCATCAACGTCATATTTATCGTACACACTCCGATGAAAAAATCCTCGAGAAATTATGCGAGAAGTGCCTAATCGGGATAAAAGAAAAATTATTAACGTTTTTCAAAGACCTTCTATTTCTATTAGTTCGCAAGAAATTTAAAAACATTTTAAAATTATGCATAAAGCTTATTTTCGAAAAGCAATTACAATTTACCGGTCAAGAAATCGCAACGAAATTAAATCGAAGCAGACTCAAGCCAAAACACGATTTAAAATAAAATTAATTAATAATTTTGAAATTATTAAAATTATTTAAATTAAAAAGTGATGGATAATTTGTGTTGAGACTAAAAATTCGTTGATAGTCGGTATTATATTAAAGTTCGAAATTTTTGCAAATCTTTCCCGATAAACTTTCGCTCAGAGTATTCGCATCTGTGTGCATATGAATATGCATATCGTGCTGTTCGATATTGATAAACACAGGGGATATCATCGGATCAGCTGTCCGACATATAAAATGTGCCATGTTCTTAAAGTGCTATACCTCATGTATTTACGTAAAGATGACAGAACCCAATATAAGACGCACGTGTTACACGGTCGCGCGTAATGCAAAATGCAACTTATACGCAATTGCACCGACGTAAATTAGCGCCAGCAATTTGAAATGCAATCATAATAAGAGGGTCCTCTAGGATTTTGTTGTTCTTGTATATCGTTAAAATCTATAAGCGTGTAATAATATATATCATGTACTAAAGTACTTATAAAAGAAAAAAATGGCTGACAGCCCGAAATCAAAATACAAAATAATACGCGGCAGACATTGGGACGAAGAATTAAGGCGTCGCTTCTCGTGTGGCGGGCCCTTTCCAATGTTTGCCGATGGTTAGTGTTCCCTATCACCTCAATATTATATCTCCCTTTAAAAACTGATCTAGCACTGTGTAATCAAAACGAGTATAATTCATCAAAATGTTTAATCAAACCTAACTAGCATCCTTAAACATCGTTTACGAAGCTGGATACAGAGATACGAGAAGCATGCAAAATCAAAATAATGCTTTCTAGTTGTAATTTCTATTTCTAATTTTTAATTAAATGTGCAAATCAAAATTTTTACTAAGAGAAAATATTTTAAGAAAAATCCTCTTTTAACAAAGTGTTGATCACGCTGAATCACGCTCAATACTTCAATATTTCAGCTTCATTTTGATAGATCTCTGATGGTTAATAGCTTTTCCATTATTCTAGTACAATAACATCAAATTATTGAGCGACAGTAATCAATTATACAATATGTAGTATATTGTTATCTAAAAGTTACAGTTTGAACTTTAATATCTGTTAGCATTTAACAATCTCTATTACTAGAAGAAGATCAAAAAATTCATCAATTGTCAAAATTGATATAATTGACATAACGAAAAATCGCCAACGGTAGTATGTCTGCATCCAGCATTTTCATAAAATTTTTTCTCCGTGTTGACTGTTTAGACTAGAGCTTTTGACGTACATAATATTAACTTTCACTATATATTACGTATATAAAAAAAGACATCAAGACACATTGATACAAAAAATATTCAGTTTAATACAAAAAAACATTAAGTTTTCATGTTATTATATAATAATTTAACGGATTTTTAAAACTAAAATACAATATGATTATCAAATATCAATACTTATTATTTTCATTCTCGAAAAAGCAAATTTATATTATAAGATATTAATTTTTTTTTTATCTAAACAATAAAAAGATTAGCAGAGTATTTCCAATAAAATTTAAACAGGTGTCTTTTTTTAATAAAAACGGAAATTCTTCATACATTTTGCAAGCAGAAATATT